CACAATATTATCTGGAGCATGGAGAAAAAATAGAAAATGCCACAACAGTCATGCAGCGGAAAACACTACAATTAGAAAGTGGTGTTACTGGAATTAGCATTCTTTTTGARCTTTATCATTTGTATAAATTTGATCCAGTGAAWGATATGGYAATAGACAGAATGCAYCTAACATTCAATATGCTCAAGAGGGAGTTTATAAMCAAAATATGGGCARAGCTAGGGGATAATGCAGGTACACCCATAAATRACAGGGATCCAGCCCTTGGTGGTCTTAYTGATCGAAAAGATTTTGGAAATGCACTAGAAGCCATACCTTGGCCCCGAGAAGAACGGGCAAAAGGAGTTGCAAAACTGAAAAGCCTAACAGATAAGTTAGGCAGTTGGAAATCAAATGAGTTCAAAAAGTAAGCAACAAAATAATGGGTAGTAGTTTTGAAAAAAAATGCTAAATTTATATGAATGTATCTATCACCTGACAGACATTTATTATATGTATAGTCAGCCATGCTATGTTTTGTGTTTATGCACACATCRAGCTATGCACAAAAGCTCAGAGCGCATGCTCAAGCAAGATTGTTTGTTTTTTTTATTTGTTTTTTTTTTTTCTGTGAGACTTAACTATTTCTCACTATTGAGCCTGCACTCTGAGAAGTAGCTAATATAAGCTATCTAATAAGACATGAACTGATTTAATWTTGTAAACATGTATATTTCCCCTTCAGATTCAGTGAAATTGCAAGAGAGGTTTTATCTGAGAAGATACCATCAAATGCATATGATTGTTTTATGCTTCTTTGTCAAGCTGTCCAAATGCTGTATTCTAAGGAACTCAAAATTTCTGGTTGGTCAGAAGAAAACAWTGTAAGATTGAATAACCTACTATGGGCTCATRCAGTCATGGCAGAGGAATACTATGGACTAGAATTTTGCACTGACAATTTAGAATACTCGGCTCATGCAGCATCACAGATAAACCGACACTCCAGCTTAGACAACTATTCCTGTGAACTGTTTGAAAGAATGATACGACGGCACAAACAACAAAAACATAATTCTCGAGGGATTGAAAAAACTTATGCTTCTAGAGAGAGCATACGGGACTTTCTGTATTGGTACAAGCAGAAGAATGGGGCACTTTCAAGTTATGAAGAAAAACCCAAGTATCAATTCAAAATTGAGATATTACAGAACGKAACACCACTTTATTTGAAAGAAGCATCCCTACAGTCTGCAAATGACCTGTTGACAGACTTCAAAGACATCCCAGATGTAAGGATGAGGCATGCCATTAAATATGGAGTACTTCTTGGCAAGGTTTCACAAAAAGCTTGCTCATTGGCTGTAATATCAGACATCCGGCACTTACGGCACTTACACAGAGAGACAGGACTGCAGAATTTAGTGGTACCAAATATTCTGCAAACATCTAAAAATGTTGCACTGTTTGATCAATATAAAGAAGTCACCAAAGTCTCTCAACTGGATACCATCAAGATAAAAAGTACAAATACAGCAGAGGAGTGGATAATGAAGGTTGAAGAAATTATRCAGGTTGGTCCAGTTGAGCRCTTGTTCTATACCTATATTAAYGGCACCTACCTAGTACCAGTATTCCRAAATGGTGAAGTTGATTATCACATGTGGACAAGCACTCCTAAGTKCATTACCCGAACATACCAGAGAAACAGTGTGCAACCACTTGCTTCATTTTGTAGAAAAGTAATGATGTACCCAGTACCAGGAAATGCAGGAAACCCAAATTACTTCCTTTGCATAGACTATAAAAATGCAGAACTAGTCAAGACCATCAAAGTTCCCATTTATCCTGATGTTGGTGAGACAGTTAGAGTTAAAGGAACAGGAAACCAAGAATGGTATGGAAAAGTAAACCATGTCTATGTCACAGAAAGGAAAGCCAGAGTACAATGGTACAGGGAAACCAGACGAAATGGCATTTGGACACTAACAAATGGCGAAGATGACAWWTATTTCMGGTCTATTATAGGATTAACAACTACAGAAAGARTATTTGGTGGATTCAGGATAACTGACATTTAATTTAGGATGTTCACATTTAATTTAGGAAGATTAGAAACTCTTTCAACCATTGATAATATTGA